GCGTGCACCTTCCTCCTGCCCCAGAGCCTGCAGCCCATCCATGGGAAACAGAGGCAACAGCAAGTCTTCAGCCTGAACTCCACAAGCAATAGGATGCCCATTTTCCAAACATTTCAACCTTTTTATCTTAATGCCTTGGAGACTCCAAGCTTAGGGACTTGCCCAAAGTCACATGTGAAGGCCATAGCAAGGCACAGCATTCAAACCAGTGAAGTCTTTTTTACAACACACTGAGTGGCCCCGGGCCTGATCTCATCCACTTTTCCAAAGAGCTCCTTCATCTTTCCCTTTAACACTGAGGATTTCCCTTCACTCATCCAGCAACTCACTTCATCCTCCACATCCAACATCTCCTTGGCCAGGAGGCCACAAGAGACCCAAGCCACACCAAAAAGCCAGGAAGAGGCTGGTCCCACCACCCTGCCGACACGCTCTCATCCCCCTTTGCACCTGCCTCTGCCTCTCTCTCCACCTGCTGTTTACAGCGAATTAGCCGCGCTTTGGGGCCAAGACCAGCTTTTGTTCTTTTTCATATAGCACCTGGCACAGTGAGCTTGGTACGGAAAGGCATCCGATTACACAGCTAATAAATAAACAAGGACCATCATCTGCTCCAGCTCCTGGCCACATAGAGTCACTATCTACAGGAACTGCTGCAGCCCATACCCGATGCCATTAGTAATGCAGATGTGCCTGGGAGATGAGGACTTCCAAGGATCAGGCTTTGCTCATCGGAGCTGCCTATGAGCAGCAAGTGGAAAACCCCAAACCAGCTCAAACTTGCTCAAACTCAACACTCAAACACAATTTCTCCAGTGGTTCAAGTTGTGCTCAGAGCTGGGCACGTTTTGATCACTTGCTGACATGGCAAGGAAAGGTGGGGAAACTATCACTTCTACCCAGAGGAAATGTTCAGGTATCGTCTTGTGGACACAGGCATCCAAGAGGGGCACTGCTGGCTCCTCCTATGGCTAAGGGGTTTCCATCACGTCCTTCCCTCCCAATGGCTTTGGCCATTCAGTCCTACTCC